AAAAGAGAAAGTAAGTATTTATGACTCAAATCACTGGCAATTTTATCTTCCATTTGCCTCCTGGCGTGAGGTAATCAGAGTCTCACCCATGGGGGAAGCAGCTTGTTCTCAGGGGCATGGGCGTGGGTGGGACTGATGCGTCTCTCGCCTGCTGCGTTATCCTCCTTGCAGAAGCCACTACTTCCCGCACACATGGTGTGGACAGAGAAGGTGGCTGCAGGGCCTGGTAATAAGGGTCACTAGTGGCGGGCATGTGGCATTGTGTTCAGAGGTATCCTCTCACTGGATCCTGCATGCACCAGAACCACTGCACCCATTTTGCAGATGAAGAGACTGAGACCCAAAAAAGCAAGGTGAGGTTCTGGCTGGGTGGTGGAGTCTGTCTTGCGGTTCCATCTTCTGACTCCTGAGCTGTCCCTTCCTCCACCTGTCACTCTGTTAGACATCGGGTGTCTCAGCACAGCTCCTCCTCATAACCAGGTCACATCACACTTCCCACGTGCCAGCATGGTTCCGTGTTATTTATTTGTATTCATTCAACACAACAACCCAAGTAGGGTGACACCATTATTACATCATTAAAATGGGCCTTCCTTCATTTTACTGATGAAGAAACTGAGGTACAGAGAGGATGAGAAACCCACCCACGAGCACCCAACTAGGAAATGACAAAGCCTGACTGTTCGGTGTTAGGGTTTTTGCTCTTAACATTTACTCCCAACTGCTATGCACCATGAGGAGCCAAAAGAGCAAATGCCATTTCATGCCCAACAGAAGCACTTTGTGATGGTTGAACACACCCTCAGTTTAGAATCCTTTTCAGTTTAACTTTTTTTATTTGATTTTTAAATAAAAGTTCTTTAAGCCCTGAGCAGTGTGCTTCAGTTAGTTAGTCATTGTCCCACAAAGTGAAAGGTTGCCAGTTCGATTCCCAATCAGGGCACACGCCTGGGTTGCGGGTTCGGTTCCTGGTTCGGGTGCATACGAGAGGCAGCTGATGGATGTTTCTCACATCAATGTTTCTCTCCCTGTCTTTCTCCCTCCCTTCCCCCTCTCTAAAAATAAATAAATAAAATCCCTAAAACAAATAAGCTTCTCAAGTTATTGGGGAAATGGCCCTCATAGGCAAAAGCGTCCGCATTGAGTTGATTTCTGTGGGTCTGTTGGTTGGTGGCATGAAGATGAGCCTGGAGCCCACGGAGCCAAGACCGGTCCCTGCGTCTCACCGAGTCAGACCGGGCCTGTGGCCCAGGGCGTTGCCGCTGCTTTCCTGGGGAGGACTTTTTGGGCAGCTTTGAAGAACACGTTGATTTTTTAAAATTTCCTAAACTTTGCAGCCCCATTCTCGCCTGTGAAGCACCCTTCTTGCCTTAAAGGTGTGATGAAAGCTGCTTCTGCTCACAGGCCTCAGTTCTGCTGCCTAAAATAACGCTCCAGGATGCTGGCCAGGCAGCAGCACACTTCCCGTGAGCGCTCGGCTCGCAGGTCCCAAAATAACGCCCCGGCTGTTAGCACCTGCGCTTTCCAGCGTTTCCTCGCTGACAACAGGGGGAGATTAATGGGTTCCATTCAGAACGGACCTCTCTGACCTCATCTGTGAAGTTGGGGAGCTCAGGAAATTGCTTGCTAATCCAAATCTTGATAATCCTTGGATTCTGACATTCTTTTTCCCCTTCCCCTTTCAATGCCCCCATCTGAACTATGTTATCACTTTCAAAGTTTTGATAAGATATGAAGCAGATTATGCCCCACAAATAACTTCTAATATGATTTGTGATGATATGTTGAGTGGGGAGATCAAAACTGATGTGACTTATCAGAATGAAAAGTGGCCTGATTAACCCCAAAGACTTGGTCCATTAGCGGAAATAAGGCTGTGAAGAAAGAAAAAGGAAAATGAGGGGAGCCTGCAGCCTCCCAGGTGGCACCTCTGTCACGTTGTGAACATCTCAAGGGAACATGGAAATATGTTTCCTTGTGTGAGGTGTCTCAGGGGCCAACAGAGTCCCATTCAGTCCACACTTGTCCAGACCCTGGTGACCCTGGGATAGGCATCGGAGGCTCATTTTACCAGTGAAGCAAACGAGGTTACTCAGGGAGAGACAGGATTTGGGTTCAAGCAGTCCCAGATTCATTTTCCTCTGCTTGACCATGAACTCCTCAGGGAAGGACCAGGTATTTAACTGTGCATTTCCATTGGAAAGTCACTCCCTGGCACACAGTAGGTGCTCCTCAAATGGACATTGTAAGTCAAATGGTATGTGCTTTCCCTGATTCCTCAAGCCCTCAATGACATTTCCCTCCTGTCACCTGGTGGGACTTGTGGTCTCTACAAGTTCCTTGAAACTTATATTTGCCTTGCATGTTATTTGACTCTCCCAGAGACACGTCTTAACATTTCAGTATGTGTATAGGCAATAGATGCCCGTGGAAAATATTCAAACATTCAGAAAGGTTTGTGGAGAAAAGTAGCTCCCCCTTGATGTCTGTCCCCAGGGTGGTAGCATTACTGCTGCTCACCAGTGCTTCACCTGTCAAACACCCACAGACTTGTACTTCTGTCCCCCACTCCCCTCTCCAGGCCTGAGGAAATCATGCAATCGTGTAGACCAAGCACGCATGAGCAGAAGTGACAGATGGCTGCAGTAGTTAACTGCCAGCTCAAGACCTGCAAAGCTGCTTTGGTCTGGTGATCAGCAAGATTTGACATGGGGTATAGTCCATCAGCTTTGATCCCTGAGTGAACTATGAGCAAAGAACCCCCACTGCCCCATGCTCGACCTCTATGGACAAAAAAGAAACCTGTTATTTAAGCCACTTAGATTTTGGAGACTGTTTGTTACTGCAGCATATCCTAGCCTCTTCTGACTGATATATCCAGCCTCTAGGTTCCTCTTCTATTGAGGTACCCTTTGTTACCATGTTCTTGGGTAGCCGACCAGATATAATCAAAACATATACCAGGAATACATTCATAGCATACAATATATGCTATTGTCTATCTTGCCTTTTTTCACTTAATATATCTTGGAGATATTTTCATATTAATATATACATATCTGCCTCATTTTTTAACAGCTAAACAATATTCCATTAAAAATAGTTACCATAATTTATTTAAAGAGCAATCGCTCATTGGACGTTTCATTTCCAATCTTTTGCTACTGTGAACAGTGCTGTAATGAGTAACTTTGTATGTCATTTCAAATTCATGCAGTTACTCTAGAGCAAAGTAGGCACTCTTTCTTCATTTATTAAATGGGAATTATGATATTTCATTTATTAAATGGGAATTATGATAGGACCTACCTGAAGAGGTTGCTGTGTAGGGGTTAGATGTCATATTAAAGTTAAAGTGTTCAAGCATGTAGCAAATGCTTTGTGAATAAATGAATGAACGAATGAATGAATGAGATATGTAAAAATGTATTATTTTTTTTATTGTTGACTTCCTGGTACATTATTGAGATAAAAATAAGCAAAACAAAATTCCTAAATAAAGTTATATTCAGTGAAGAAAGGGATTGAAAACGTTAATGTTATTATTAATATATATTATGATTAAATAAGCCAGGGACAGCAGAATTTCCTTCCTCTATTCATCTGCTTGTTCATTCTCTGATTTGACAGCTTTTAGTTTCGTAACATCTGCTGTGCTACCCATTCTGCTGGGAACAGGAAATACCAGGGTGAACCACACACAAAGCACTTGCTATTGTCATTGCCACCCTGCACGAAGTCAGAAGGAAAAACAACGCTGTTCTGCATGTCCACTCAGGGTCTCCTTGGCATCGCCCCTTTTTACAGACGTGCACAAGCGTTACCACAGTTAATTCCAAACATTTCCTGACCTCAAAAAGAAACCTGTGCCTTCGGCTCTCAAGTCCCCTTTCCTTCTCCCCTCAGCCTGATCAACTACTGATCTGCCTTCTGTCTGTGGATCGGCCTATTCTGGACATTCCCTGTAAGTGGAATCATATCACATGTGACCTTTTGTGTCTGGCTTCTTTCGGTCTCCATCATGTTGTCAAGGATCATCCGTGTTGTAGCGTGTGTCGGTGCTGCCTCCTTTCCGTGGGCGAGTGGCGTTTTATTGTGTGGACAGAGCAAGTTTTGTTTCTCCATTTCTCAGTCAATGGACACTCGAGTTGTTGCCACTTTTCGGTTATTATGGATACTGCTGTTTGATCATCTGTGCACAAATTTTCATGTAGACGTATGTTTTCAATTCTCTTGGCATATGTAGGCGCATGTTTTCAGTTCTGTTGCACTTGTACCGAAGAGTGGAATGCCAGGCTCTCTATATAATTGTTTTGGGGGCTGCCATATGGCCTTCCAGCAGCTGCGCCATTTTCCATTCATACCAGCGGTATATGAGGGTTTCAATTTCTCTGCAACCTCGCCAACACTTGTTATTTGCTTTTTTTTTAGAGTGACTTCTCTTTCCTGCCATGGATTCTGACTGAAACATTATGTACTTGAGGACAGAACTTCATACTTGCTTGATAAAGCCGTCTCCTGGACAGAACAATCCTAGGTTTACATTTCTGAAAGTTGTAACAGTTTGCGAAGCCTCTTCAGACACAGCAACTTATTTAGTCTTCCCCATATCTGTGAGTTAGGAAGGGCGGTGCTCTCATTCCCATTTCACAGATGAGGAGACTGAGGCCCACGCAGGTTCTGTGAGTGTCCTGCATTCACACAATAGGATCAGAAACCGAGGCTGTCCCCCCACCCTCCCAAGGAGCCATTTGAAGCATTTTGTCCGATATGCCAGCCAGGTCAACTGGTTGCTCTAAAATTATTTGGAAGAAATAAGAATCCAAGGCTGCCATTTTAATACACTGGCTTAATCAGACGTTTTAAATTACTTCTAACAATTTGGTAGAAAAAAACCACGTTGAGTTTTTTTGTAGTGGCTTCCAGCAGAGAGGGAAGAGGTCACGCCACGGAGGCCTACGAGCAGGGTCTATTGTTTAGCATCTCAGGGCCCCAGCTCGTCACAGGAAATCCACAGCAAGGTGAAGGTCGTGCTTGCCAAGTCTTTGAAAGCAGTTCCTCCTGCCCGAGAGTTCCTTACAGAAGCCGCAGTCCGCCCAGACTTCCCGGGGCACTTTCTGCAGTACGAAAAGGGAAAACATTTTTTGGACCATATGTGGCACTGAGGTTGATGACCCACAGCAAAAGCGAAGACTCAAGTGATGCTCCAACTTTAAAAACAAACCAAGTAAAAGTGGAAACGGCATGAACCCTCAACAAGAACGGGTTAGTAAAACATGGGCCATCGATTAGAAGCAATCAAACCATCTGGTGAAACATCCTATTTTAGAAAAATTCTTGATGTCCTGAAAAGTGTGTGTTGCATATCAGTAAGTGAAATAAGCAGGTTACTGTATAGAAGCAGTTTTTACCCGGGGAGAAATGTCCAAGGACATTTGACAATACCTAGAGGCATTTTCGGTTGTCCCAGGTGGGTGTGCTACCGGCCTGCAGGGGCGAGGGAGGCGCGATGGGCATCTTACAGTGCACAGGACAGCCCCTCACAACAAATGATCGTTCAGTCCAAACGCCAGTGGTACCCAGGTTGAGAAATCTACTATACAATATACAACATGTGATTCCTGCTTTTGTTGTATAAAAATGTTATATATGATCAAGACCATGTTTTCTTTTTGGGTAAAGGAAAAGGTAAAAAACCTTGGCTCCCCTGTAGTTTCCAGCCTCTTCAAACAAAAACTATGTATTACTTTGCAATCAGTCAAAAAGTGAAATAAGATCAAACTCTGGCAACACAAATAGGAAAACCCCTGTCGATGGGAGACTTGCTCACCTCCCGTTTCTCAGGCTCGGCCCGGTGTGGTCGTGAGCCACTGTGGTGTCCCCAAGTCAGTGATCTCTCTCAGAGCCTTGGTGCACTCCTCTGTGAAGCCGACTCTTCATATATTTGTGCTTCGTGTCTTTCCGCCATCATCTCCTCTTCCAACTCCGTGAAGCCTCTGCAATGCCGAAGACGTGTTCTGGGAGTGCAGAGGCCCCGGCCTGGGCCTGTCTGCAGCCTCAGGAGGGCGCTGCCAGGTGCACAGGTGAGCTGGGTGAGGGCCTCGGGTTCCACACCTGTAAACTAGGGCTGATAATAACTAGTGGGCGAGGATTGATGACCTAATGTGGGTAAACATCTGTCACATAGTAGGCCCGCAACAAAGGTATCTTATTCCTTGCAAGGATGCCATACGATAGCTCAAGCTAGTGCTTATTTTCAATAGTTTAATTCATAGATTCATTCTACAAATGTCCATTTGAATGCCTACTCTGTGCCAGGCACTGTTCTGGTTGCTGACAGGTCAGCAGTAAGAAAAAACGGTGTTTTATCTGCATCAGTGATCTATTACCGTGTAAAAAATTGCTTTAAACTTTGTGGCCTAAAACAACACATGTGTATCATTTCATAGTTTCTGAGCATAGGGAACTCAGGAACAGGTTAGCCGGGTGTTTCCGGTGCTCGGGGTGTTTCATGGTGACAAAGGTGGAAAGTCTGCCAGGGCTGCCGTCCCATCTGATGGCTCGGCTGGGGGGGGGGGTCTGCCTCCCAGGATGGATCCCTCACATGGCTAGTGGCAGGAGGCCTGTGTTCCTCCCCATGAGGGCCACTCCGCAGGGCTGCCTGGGCGTCCCCACTGCAGGCAGCTGGCCTCTCCCAGAGTGAGTGATCTGAGAGAGACCGCGGGGGAAGCCACGGGGCCTTTGATGACCAGGTCTTGAAAGTCACACAGTCGGTCCCTGTTATTTTTTGTTAGAAGTGAGTTACTAAGTCTGGCCTACTACACTCAGGGGGAGGGAGGAATTGGCTTTCATCTTCTAAAAGAAGGACAGTCAAGAATTTGCAGAAATTATTTTAAAGCAACACACTGTCCTTAGGAGATGACAGCCTGGTGGGCATTTTTGAAATAGAAGAAAACTTTGAAAGTGCAGCACGCCACAGAAGAAAATAAAGAGCAAATGGCTGCCACAATCCTACCACCAAAGATACTCCAGTCACACTCATGACTCCCCCCAGCCTTACTGAAGAACAGTGTGTACCCAGTAAAACGCCCCCGCGTGGAGAGTGGAGTTGGACACGTTTGGTGGTTGTGCGCACCGTGTAACCGCCATCTCGATGGAGGCACGGAACGCTTCCTTCCCTCTCCGAATGCCCTGGGCTCCCTCCCAGTCATTCCCGCTCATCTGGGCTCTGTCACAATTGGTCTGATTTGCCTGCTCTAGAACCCGACCCAGATGAAACTGCACAGCATTCATTCTTTTGTGGCTTCTCTCGGTCAGCCTGGTTTGGAGGTTTGCCTGGCTCGTCACAGGCGCCAGTTGTTCCTGGTTTGCTTTTTAAACCTGCTGAGGAGATTTGCACCATCAGGCCGCACCTCAATTTGCTTATCCATGTGCCCGTTGACCCTCTCCCTTAATGATTATTTTCTCTGATTTCTCTGTATTTCTCTGTCCCTCTGTCAGTTTGTAGCAACAGGTGCTTTGTTACTGAACAACGCCCACTCCCTTTTTTCCCCACTCAGCATCAAGTTGGGAGTTTGGGTGGGATGGTGGGGTTCAAGTGCACCTCTTCTGCCCAGTCTACGCTTCCTGAGATCTTAAGGACTTAAAACTACATGAGTGCATTTCTCTTAGTTCTCTTTTCTCAGATGATGGAGACGTGTGTGGTGGGTGGGGGGATGCTGTGGTGTTTCAGGGATTTTATATCTGTGGGATGAATAGGTAGGTCGCTACCTGATGGAAATTGCCCTATGTTGGCAGCACCGAAGGAGGCGTTCTCTTTGGGGGAAGGGAACATGGTTCTCAGTGTGTGCTTGGTTGGGTTCAGGACTGTGATTGTGCGCTACCTACCTTCCCCTGTGCTGACCTCAGCAACGGCCACCCTGAATGCCTCCTTTAGGGCAGTTGTCACAGTCTATAATGTCTCACTGCTGTTTCTTTGCCTCTGGACTTGCTGCCTGGCCTGCTGCCCCAGCCCCCGAGACCTCGAGTGCTGGCTGCTAACAGCTCTCAGCCGACTTCTCTGCAGAAGTGCCTGTGGCTGAGTGGGAACCCCCTTGACTGAAAGCTATGCACCTGCCAACCCCCAAGACCTTGGCCAATGACTGACTCAAGGTGGAAGCAACTCTGATGCAGCTCACATCTCCAGAGCTCCCCCTGAGACCACCTCCTCTCTCAGCCCCTCCCACAACCCCTTCCACTGTCCCAGGATTCCTGGAAACTGGCCCTAAACTACCTGGCTGATTCTACCCAACCCCCACCATTTCCTACAGCGTGTTGCTGAAAAAGTCTTTTAAACATCCCGAGCCCCTGGGATCTTAGCAGGAAAATGAGCAAAATGAGTTCTTAGAATGGCGTGAGGGTCAAAAGGCGTGATATCTTAGAAACTTTGATAACCACCGTATCTGAGCAGAAGAATATATGGGAACGGGTGAGCAGTGCTTCCTTATTGGTCGCGGCGTTGTGGGTGATTTTCATTTTCTTATGTTTCCTCATGTGCATTTTTAATAGTTATTCACTTAAGTTGTTTTATTTGTATATTATTTTTTAAAACAGCCTCACATTTATTAATGAATCAACCTATTACTGAACAAAAAAGATCAAGAAAAAAATAATCCAATTTCCAAAAAAAACCAAACTGTCCCAACAGCAGTGGTTTTTTCAATGACTTCAAGAGGCAGACGACATGAATAGAGCATTAATATGCAAGACATCTCTGATGTGTCCTTCCTTGTAGAACCAGTTTTGTTCTTTTCCAGTGTCTCCTCTTGGAGTGGTACCTGATTTTATTACCAGTTTTCCTCTGAATCCACTGGGGAATGGGCTGATTCTGCTCTTGTTTCTTGGCCAGGAGCCTCTTGATCCTGAAAGTCTTGTGAGAAAACATGGCAAAGAAGAATGAACCTCACAGACCACGATGGCGAAGAAAAGAGTTTTCTGTATACTATTTTTAGTGCATCTAATCCACTAAGAGAAAAGCAAATCGGAAAGAGTGAATGAGAGTGATACTATGAGAGGAAGAGCCATTAATCAGGTCCTAGTAAATCAAGTATAATTTATAAAAGACATACAAATTTTTTAAATTCTGATTCATCAACCAAGCCTAATTTACAAAACAAGCAATAAATAATTTACATACTCAGCAGCAATATGTAGCACTTGAGCAATTCTTTCTAGATAATTCTTGTAACCTACACACAGAAGATCTTAACTCATCAGTATGTCAGAAACTGTGGCTGGGAATGTTGAGTGGACAGGGAAGACCCTGTAGGAAGAGAAGGCAGGGAGGAGCAGAGGCGGGCTGGTCTTGATCCAAACTGGGAATAGTGATATTAATAATAATAGCAGCTAGAATTTTTTTGAGCTTTTACTTTATGCTGGCCATGGTTCTTACACACCTTTCATGTATTAACTGCTTCAACCCAGTCACAATCCTCTGAAGTGGACACTCTTAATATCCCATTTTACAGAGGGGAAAACTAAGACTCAGAGAGAATAAAGGAGTCCAGTAGTGAGCGGTCGACACATGGCTGGGACTCAGGCCACCCGCTCCTCAGCCTGCTCTCTTGGCCACACTGGGACGCCACACTGCCCAGGGGGAGACCCTAGATCTGCCGCTGGGGACCGTGCCCAGCTCTCTGAGCCTCAAACTTGGACTTCGGTGCGAGCTTAATGAGCTCTGGACTCCAGGGAACTTGCGTTCAGAATTATTGGAAATGTGTGCAATTTGCTGTCTTCTTTCCCAGCTATAAAAGTTCAACTATGAACTTTTCTACCCATGGAAAGGGTGGACTTGAAGAATAAAAAACCCCTCCCTGCTCTCTGAGGGAAACTGACTAGCATTGGTCTCTTGCCTTCCTGACAGAGGTTCCTGGAGTTTGTAACGTGTCACCTGGGTGTCAAACAGTACACGTCAAACCCCAAGGGCTTCAGCCAAACTGAGCAGTCCTGGAATGAAGTCAAGGGAGGGAAGAAGAGGTGGGAAAGCGAGAGCCCACAGGTGTCATGGGCAGATCAATGAGAATCACCTGGGAGGAATCAGGATGCTTGATTGAGAGCCTACCAAAGGCTGGGGTTCTGTTAAGCACTTAATAATTTTCCCTATCTTTCCACAGACTGAACTAGGTCAGAAACATCCTCTTCACATCCCCATGGCACTAAAGGTGAAGGAATCGAAGCTCAGAGAAGCTGAGTAACTTAAGGTCACACAGCTGGTGCATCAGTCAGGATGGTTGAAATTCTACTGCAATGACAAATAATCCTGAAATCTCGATGGCTTAAAAAGACAAGGGTTTAATTATGCTCATGCCATATACTCATTATGAGATGTTGGGTCATTGAGATCACTCAGGGACCCAGGCTGATGGAGCAGTTTCCATCTTGGACTCTGCCGGTAGCTGAGACAGAGGGAGCAAGGAGATGGTTGAGGGTCTCATGCCACAAATCAAATAGTGTTGCATTCATTACTCATCACTAGTTCTGTTCAGAACTAGTTTTGTGGTCTGGGAAGTACAATCCTGTCATATGCTTAGAATCTCAGAAGGGATAATTGGGGAGATTGGCGAATGTTTTCACGTAGCACCAATAACCAGCACATTAGTTAGGAGATAGGATCAAGACCTGGACCCCCCTCTGCTTATCTCCAGGTCACTGTGTACCTGCTGTAGAAGTGGGCTCCCAGAAGGCAGATTCATGCTCTCCATGGGGCCCCTTGCAGTCCCTTCTGCCATGAACCTACCAAACCACCCCATGCTTCTCTAAGGAGCAAGCATGTCTGGGTGGATAGATGCGTACAAGCACGACCCCGTGGGCCGCAGCTCTGAATAAAGCTTATCTCGCTTGCTATTATAACAAGCCATTTGATGCACAGCCAACTTCTTCCTCAGATAAAAACAAAATCCTTTCAAGATGAGAAGGACTTTTCCACAGAGAGGGAAGTTCTAATTCAGCCCATGAATTAGTCAGGTTCAGGGTCAACTGCTGTGACAAAGAAACGCCTCAGGCCAGTGGCTCACACGAGTGGAGTCCTGGTTCTCCCTAAGTGGTGGGCAGATCGGGGCAGCTAGCTGCACTCCGCAGGGTCCCCCAGGGATGCAGGTCCCTTCAGTCTTCCTCCTGCTCCGTCCTCTCCTGGGGTGATATACTCGCCCACGTGATAGAAGCTGACCCACCAGCACCATGTCTGTGCTCCTCCAGGGCAGGAAATTCGAAATGGAGGGCAAGAAATTTCTCCAAGGAAGTGGCATGGAATTGCATACCTCCTTGGTGAGAACGCTGTCATGTGACCACACCCAGCTGAAGGGGAGGTGGGGGAGTTGGCTCTCTAGCTTGGTGGTCATGCGTACTGCTGAAACTCCAGGAAGGGCTTCTATTACTAATAGGAAGAGGGGGTGAGCCCTGCCTCCTCCTGATTGCCTCCACCCAATCCTCTTATCGAACCTCTCGGTACTGAATTCTCATTAGCCCAGTTTCTGTCCCGGCTCACGGTTGGGCAAGACCTCTCCCAACCATCTGTGCTGCCTTCCATGTGTGTGTTAATCAGCTCGGGCTGCCATGACAACACACCACAGCCTGGGTGGCTTCAGAAACTGTGGGACATTTATGTCCCACAGTTTTAGGGACTGAAAGTCCAAGTTCAGGATGCCAGCAGGGTTGGTTGCTGGTGAGAACTCTCTCCCTGGCTGTACACCACCACCTCCCTGTGTTCTTCATGTGCAGAGAACACAATCTCTCTCTCTCTTCCTCTAATAAAGCCACTAGTCCCATCATGAGGTCCCCATCCTCATGGTTTTACCTAATCCTAATGGCCTCCCAGAAGTCCCATGTCCAAACACCATCCCAGTGGGGGGGCTAGGGCTTCAACATATTAATTTAGGGGAGGGACACACACACGTTAGCCCATAGCAATGAGACTCTATGAATCTTCTGGTGTCCAAACCCCATCCAGCCCCACTGTCCACTGAGCCCCAGCTATGTCGGGATCTTACAAATGCACCATATGACTCCATTGTTCCTTACCGTTTACAGTCGGTATTTACATGATTGATTACATGGTCAGGGGAGAGGAATGAAAGCCAGTGGCCCCAAGACCAAATTCCACGCAGGTTGATGAATAAATCTCTTTTTTAAGCCCAGACCCAAGGAGCTGATGTATAGGAATGCAAATTTGTTATAAGCCAATGACCATCTCCTTGGCAGTTCCAAATATCTCGAGGGCTTCCCAGCCCTTTCCAATATCCCACTGCCAAATTAAACACACACATCCAGTTGGTGACTGCACACCCAGACATTCAAGGGGACTAAAATAGAAGAGAAACCAACCACGCTGCTCTCCCAGGCAGCCAGAGCCGAGGGGTTGATGGAGAAGCCCCAGGCTGTGTGAAATAGTATTCACGGACTCAGCCTCCCACAAGACTTGCAAACCTATTTTGGGGGATAAATGACTGCTCAGAAAGTTTCCCACCTCTTCGTATAAATGTGATTTCACACTCTACTCAGAAGCCCCAGGAACTTGCAACAAAAGAGGGTGTTCACATGGGCACACCCAATGAACAGCCCCTTGTGCCTTGCCATTGGGAAGCTTGGAAAAATTACCTTTCTGGTCTTTTCGGGAGCTCTTCTGACAGGGTTGGTCTCCCAGAACTGTGCTGAGCACACGCTCTTCCAGCCAAATGGCCAATTCACTGGTCACCACCCAGCCAAGCTCAAATGCTGCCTCCTTCTGGAAGCCCTCTGAGAGCACCCATTCAACCTCATTTTCATCTCTTGTCAGTGTCTTTGGCCCTCCTTGCCATCCCGTCCATCCAGACTACTTGACCAATGCTCTTTGAACACTTGGGTGGGTAGCGTGTGCAGACTCACATAACAATTGTTAAGTTCAGGCTTATCTCATCATTAGCGATGCTACCAAATTAAAGGTACATACACTCTCTCTGTACCTCAGTTTCCCCATTGCTGAGAGTGTCGCCAGATGGGTGAGACAGAGACCATGCCCAGCCCCGAGCTAGGGGTGCGTGTCGGCTCACAGTCATGCTGCAGCTCCCGCTCAGACTCTCCGCCCTCCACCGCCGTGGGGCTGAGGGCCCTGCCAGAGAAGATGGTGGAGGGTAGGGCGGGGAGGGTGTGGGGACCGGGGCTCAGGACTCACAGGGATTCAGAGTCCAGGTGAATGACTGCGGCAGTTGTCCAGGGAACTAGTCAGGGATTTGGACGGGAGAGTGGCACGCTCAGAACCACAGTTAGGAAGGGCCATAGTGAGGATGGGGCACAGCACTAAATGCAGAGTGCCAGGCGCAGGCCCTGCCAGAGGCACTGCTTCTTGCCCTCAAGCTCACTGCGCCTGATGCCGAGCAGATCCTCCTCACAAGTCTGCTCTGTGGCCCGGAGTAGCAGCCCTGCGTTCTGAGCACCGAGAGGAACACTGCTGGCTACTGGCCAGAGGCAATGCCAGGCTCTTTCTAGAGCATTCCTTGGCAAAGTGAAGTCTGTGCCATTCCTCGTGCACATAAGACAGAACCCTGACATTTGCTAGGCACACACCCAAGAACTTGAGGAGTCTCTGAACTTGGAAATGTCGCCATTTCCAAGACCTGAGGCTCAGGGAGGTCCAGGGGAGGAAAGATGAAGCAACGGGCCTAGCCGCTCAGCCTGAATGAGGCTGTGGGACCTGGAGTGGGTCACTTACGCTCTCTGGGCTTCTTCGTTTCAGTTTGGTTCCCCTGGAAGCAGACCCTGCAACATGGATTTGAGTGAGAAGTTCACTGGCGAGGTGACCACAGGCAGTACACTCACGGAGTGGGAGGCCAGACCGGAGGGAAGGAACCCTGCTAAGTGTGCTGCTAAGCCGGTTACCAGCACGGGCCACTGGAGCTTAACCTCACTGGGAAC